GACTTTAGAAAATTGTCAATTAATGGATTATGAATCCGGAGATTTTAAATAAAAAGGAACTTCCACCTGTTTAGTGACTCATCTGGATTTTTACTGTTGTTCTTAATAAATTCGCGAGTCATCACATTAATCATATTATTACTGGACCTTTAGTAAGTGTCGAAGTTGCCATCTCGTCTCTACTTCTTCGAGATTAGGCGGGATACTTACTGAGTACACGTTGTTTTTGTACTTATACTACACTTCTGTGCATTTTTGTTGCACAGGCACATGCGCCACTAATGGCTTAGCAGGCGTAGCAGCATGGTTGTCACAGAGACTAGGTGAGCTTTATTTCCTCGAGAGGACCCGCAGCTAGTGTAGTCTCTCTCAGGATTCTATTTATTTTCTGTCCAATTGTATTTCGGACAGCTGTTGTACTTTATTCGATTATTCTTAGAAATTGCTCATGCACTTGTGACACCGGGTTTTGGGATGGTTGTAAAGTATTTTATATCAACTGCTTATAATTTAATTTTATTTAAGATGATTATCTTTTTAAAATGGTAAAATTGAAGGAAAAATTATAGATTTCAAGAGTATTAAGACAAGGATTTAATTAAGTATTTGGTTGGCTTGCCTGACAGTGGCGTCCGGCGCCGTCACGACCCTTAGTAGATTTTGGGTCGTGACACATTGCATCACCTCTGACTTGATTGACCTATAAGGGTGCTCCTTTCCGTTGGTCTGATGATTGTGAGACGAGCTTTCAGAAGCTCAAGACAGCTTTGACTATAGCACCGGTTATTGTTTTGCCTTCCGGTTCGGGGATGTACACGGTATATTGCGACGCTTCACGCGTCGTCTTCGGATACGTGTTGATTCAGGATAGGCGAGTCATTGTATATGCTTCACGTCAGCTAAAGATTCATGAGAAGAATTACCCTGTGCACGACCTGGAGTTAGCAGCGATTGTTCATGCTCTTAAGATATGGAGGCATTATCTGTATGGGGTGTCATATGAGGTTTACACTGATCATCGTAGCTTGCAGCATTTGTTCAAACAGAGGGATCACAATTTGAGACAGCGTAGATGGCTTGAGTTACGAAAGGATTATGATATCACCATTCTTTATCATCCGGGCAAGGCAAATATGGTCGCGGATGCCTTGAGTAGGAAGGTAGAGATTATGGGTAGGTTGGCATTCATTTCAGCGGAGGAGAGGCCACTAGCTTTGGACATTCAGTCTGTTATACCCCACAGTATTACGTAGATGTTATGCTCTGCAGTAATATATTATGATGATGTTACCCTCTGCAGTAATACTTTATGGTGATGTCACACTTTACATTATTAAGTTACGACGATGTTGCACCCTGAAGTATTGTACGTTAAACTTGTCGTAAGGTAATTGACATCAGTCCAAGTAAAAGATTATTTGGAGATTATAAGGATTACGCTATTTATAACAAGCGATAAATAAGTGTTATGAAGGATTAAGGGGTACATGGATTAAAGAAAACGAGTTTCGCTTAAAGTGGCCAATTTGGAATAAAATGCGGGTCGAGCGATAATACCCGATAATTATGAACTAGTACCATGCAAGCTACCATATGACCACGGTAGTATAATATATAAAGTATATATGAAGTATTTTAAAAATAAATAGAATTTTAAGTAATTTGTGGTAATTTTTAAATTATACGGGTAATTGATTAATTACCGGGTAACAGAACATTACCCAGTTAACTAATAAGTGAATAAATAATTAATAAACCAACCCCCACACGTGGCAAGAAGCCACAAAGCCTAGAAAGTGACTAAGTAGTCACAATTCTAGGTGGCTACTTAATAATGACTTAAAGTCTTAGAAAGACTTATACAAACTTATCCAAATCTGTCTTGAGATTCATTTTAATGTGTTTAGCCTCATTTAATGCCTTTGGCTTCATTTTCGTTACTTTGGTATTGAAGCAGAATCATTTTCATCCAAACTCTTATCTTTAGCCAAATATTTCATTCTGTCTTTGGTTACCAAAAACGTGAGAAAAGCAAAAACATTTCATTTCATTTCAATTCATTAGAAGCAAATCTCGTCCAAGCTTCAACAAATCAAGCACAATTTCGTCCAACAATCAAAGACCAGGAGCTTCATTCTGTTTCGTTCAACAATTTTCATAGAAGCAGAACTTCATTTCATTCAAATAATTCAAGGGACAGGTATGTTAAGGCAAAGTCCTTCTTTCATTTTGGTATGATCTCGTAATTACACGAGTTTGATAACGAGGCATAAAGAATAATTCATATCGCAAAATTTATGTATATTTTGCTACTCTTGCAAGTTACGTATATTTTCCTAGTTTTGTAAGTTACAATATTCTCCTTATCGGGACTTCATATTCAATGAGTATTTCCTTCTCCAGTCAAGAGAGCAGAAAGTTTATATATACAGTATTAAAGTATTTTCATTACCATCGAGCTATAATCGATGGGCAGGCCCCTATTGGGCAACCTCTGATCAGATGGTAAGTTATATACCGAGCCTACAGTGGCCGAGCGCATATGAGCGAGCCTAGTTGGTCGAGATACAGAGCCTAGTTTGGCCGAGCGCGTATGAGCATGCCTACTACGGCATAGCATTTATATATATACCGAGCCCTATAGGGCTGGACAGCTATTTTACTTACTATATTGAGAGAGTTGAGTCAGTATCAACAGGTAAGCATATCTTCATATCATCTTTGACTTCCAATTACTTTCAATTATTATATTATCAGTTCAGGTTTAGCTTTCAGTATATTGCCTTACATACTCGGTACATTATTTCGTACTGACGTCCCTTTTCTGGTGGCGCTGCATTTCATGCGTGCAGGTTCAGACAGATAGACAGGTAGACCTCCTTATTAGGTGTTGCCCGAGTTCAGCTTGATCGGTAAGCTCCATACCCTTCGGAGTTGCCGGGTGATGTGCCGGGGAATTTCGGCACATTTAATACCAATTGCTTAGATTTTAGCTCATTTTAAATACAATTATCTTTTATACTTATGTAATTTTAATGTTTTGCAGCATATGAGGCTTAAGGACCCAAGAACATAGAAATGAAATTAAAAAGCCGCAAAAGGACACGAAAAAGGCAAAATGTTATCGCAAATCCAACATGCGGACCGCATAATGATCAGAGGGACCGCAAAGTCCAACAGTGTGTTTGGCCAAATTCAAGCGCAAGAAATGTGGTCCATTATGCGACTGCATAACAGGTTTGCGAGCCGCATAATTGATCGCAAACCCCCTGTAGAAGTTGCTGATGTCTGAAATGCGGTGACATTATGCGGTCGCAAATCAACAATGCGGACCGCATAACCAACATGCGACGACTACCTGGGAACTAGGGTTCGAAGATGTGATGGCTTTGACGAGAATGCGGACCGCATGTCTGTTATGCGACAGAAATGCGGTCGCTTAATTGACCTGGAGGGGCATTTTTGTCCGGAATTGGTCCCGAGTTTTAGCCCACAATAAATAGATTTATTGGGGTTTTGTTGGGGCATCTTGTCTGGTTTTTGAGCTACATTCCAACCTTTGAATATTCCTCTCTTTTGGAAGCTTTAGGAGTGAAGAATCTTGCACTTTGTAAGCTTTATGGCATTTAACATTCTCATCTTTTTGTATTTTAGCATGAGTAGCTAGCTTTAAATACTAAGGTTGTGAACCCTAAATGAGTGTTATGTTAATGCGTGTTTAACATTGAATATATACATAATGGTTGGTTGATATATATATTTATTTCTCATTCTTCATTTATTGTTGGTGGTTGGAAACATTAACAAGTGCCATTAAACTCTTTCTTTACTTGGAAAAGTGATTTAGAGTTTGGTAGAAGTAAATATCAAAGACTCAAGGCTTTAAACCTTGTTTAATAGAACCGCTTAGGAATAAGTGGGTTTTATTTGGCATAAATTGATTGCTCTTTATTGCAACTCTTTTATATTTGGAAAAATCATAAAGAGAAAATACTACCCAGCTATTGGAAAATATTGGGCAGTCATTTAGAAATTATTTGCATATCTAGAGGACCTTCCATTAGAAATATATCATATTAACACATAGCATTATATACCATTGACGGGGACACAACCTTGGTTTCTTTTATCAAATATATACATTCTCATATCACAATTAGGCATCTCGTTAATTCTCAACTATATCATTCTCTTGTTACGTTAATCCAGTAGAATTACGACTTAAGTCAAGTTACACACTACTCAAGTAAACTTTTCACACCATATTCCCTGTGAGATTCGACCCCAACCTTGTTGGGTTATTATATTTGACATCGACCGCCTTACACTATTTAATTAAAGTGTAATTTGAGCGTATCAAATTTTGGCGCCGTTGTCGGGGAATACGATTTTGAAATTACTAATTAGTGTGTGCTTTACTTTACGTCTTCTTCTATTCCATCACACTTTGCTTGTTTTGCATGGTGTTGATAGGAAACATGGCTGAATATGATGAAGAAGAAAATCCTTTTGCGGACATCGATGAGTACATTGAGGATACAAATGCTATTGTACCTCCGATAGTTGGTGCTGCCATATTCAAGGTGTAACATGGTTTAATCCTAATGCTCAAAGCGGAGGGGTTTTTCAGGAATTCCACTGATGATGATCCGACACAACATCTTAGAAACTTCTTGGGTGTATGTGCGATGCACAAGCAGAATAACGTCTCAGATGATGCCCTAAGGTTGAGGGAGTTCAAGTACTCACTGGCTGGAGAAGCAAGGAAATGGCTTCAAAGTTTTCAACCAAATTCTATTCATTCTTGGCCTGAACTTGTCCGAGCATTCTTAGCTAAATGGTTCCCACAAAGCAAGAAATCTGAGCTCCGAGATAAAATTTTCTTCTTCAAGCAACTACCGGGAGAACATCTTCATGAAGCATGGGATCGATTCAAGTTATATTTGGTGAGGTCGCCTAATCATGATTTTCCGGATTCTATCTTGTTGGAGTAATTCTACATGGGTTTGGATGCTATGAACCAATCTATAGCCAAGAATACAGTTGATGGATCTTTCATGGATAAGACATTTGCAAGGGTCACACAAATCCTTGATAAAATGGCGCAACATAACCAAGCTTGGCACTCAGAGGACACCACAGGTGGAATTGCTTATGGTACTCCCTCCTTGACCAAAATGATTAAGGAGAACCAAGAGAGAGATCAAGTAATTGCAGGGCTTGCCACCAATGTCAATGTTTTGACAAAGATGTTCACTGAAAGCCAAAAGAAAAAGGTGAATGTGGTGGAGGATGTTCAACCCACATCAAATGAAGACTTTGAGGAAGCAAACTATGTCAACAACTCTAAAGGGGGCTATCAAAGACAACAATACCAAGGTCAAGGACAACAAAATCAATGGAGGCCTAACCCGCAAGGGCAAGGCAACCAACAGTGGCGAAATGACCAAGGTAGCTCAAATCAAGGAAATTGGAATAACAACAGAATATGACCGAGCTTGTTGGTTCTCATACCGCATCCATTCAAAAATTGGAGATGCAAATGAGAGATCTCTCTAGGGAACAAAATCCAAAGCAAAAAGGAACACTTCCTAGTGACACAATTGCGAACCCAAAGGGTAGTGGGAGTGGTCCAACTTCTCATATCATGGAAATTACTACTCGGAGTGGGAAGGTACTACAAGGAGAGAGTGAACAAGTGGTTGAAGTAGAAGAGTCAGAACAATAGGTTGAGGTTGAAGAGCCAAGTGTTGTTGAAGCTAAAGAGGTTCCGGAAGAGTTGAAAATCCAAGAAGTGAATCGGGAAGCGGTAAAGGAAAAAGTGATAGAGGCACCAAAAACTCTAACACCTATTCCTAGACCTCCTCCTCCTTTCCCTCAAAGACTTGCTAGAAAGGTTGACGATAGCAAACTCGAAAAGTTCTATGACATTCTCAAGCAGTTATTGGTGAATATTCCATTTGTGGAAGCATTTCAAGAGATGCCAGGTTTTGCTAAGTATTTAAAAGACTTGATTACCAAGAAGAGAACCACCAAGAATGAAGTGGTGAATGTGACTCACCAGGTTAGTTCCATCATTGCAACAACTACCTTTCAAAAGAAAGAAGACCCGGGAGCTTTCACCATTCCATGTACTATTGGGGCACGTGATTTTGCAAAAGCTCTTTGTGATAATGGGGCTAGCATTAACTTAATGCCTCTTGCTATTTACAAGCAAGCGGGGTTAGGTATGCCGAGGCCTAAAAGTATGAGGTTGCAAATGGCCGATCGTTCCATAAAGAGACCGGTGGGAATTGTTGATGATGTGCTTGTGAAAGTGGGAGAGTTCCTTCTACCCGCCGATTTCGTAATCCTTGATTATGCAGTTGATAAAGAGATCCCTATCATCTTGGGGAGACTATTCCTTGCCACAGGAAGAGAACTAATGGATTCGGAACGGAATGAGATCAAATTCCGTGTGAATGATGAAGAATTTACATTCCAAGCAAGAAAGGGTATGAAACTACCACATGAATATGAAAGCATCTCGATGATCAATGTTGTTGATGAAGTGGAAGATCCGGTTGAAATGTAGATTGAAGACAATGCCTCGGTGAGGCATTGGCGGCTATTTTGGTAAACTTCGACGGTGAAGATATGGAGGGGTATATGGAATCGGTCAATGCATTGGAAGGGCTTGGGTCATATACTTATGCTCCGAAAAAGCTCTCTCTTGACCAGGAGAATAGAGCTACTCCTCCCACAAAGCCTTCAATTATTGAGCCACCGCAACTAGAGCTCAAACCACTTCCACCACACTTGAGGTATAAATTTCTTGGCTCAAATGACTCTCTACCGGTAATTGCTTGTCCATATGGGATGTTTGCATTTAGCCGGATGCCATTTGGGCTATGCAACGCTCTGGCCACTTTCCAAAGGTGTATGATGTCAATATTCTCCAAACATGGCATAGAAGTTGACCGGGTAAAGATCGAGATCATTTCCAAGCTTCTTCCACCTACTTCAGTTAAAGGTGTCCGAAGTTTCATGAGGCATGCCGGATTCTATAGGCGTTTCATCAAGGATTTTTTCAAAATTGCAAATCCCATGTGCAAACTCCTTGAGAAAGATGCAAAATTTTGTATTTGACGAGAAGTGCCTCAAAGCCTTTGAGGAATTGAAACAAAAGCTCACCACGGCACATATTATTGCCACACCCGATTGGTCTCTTCCATTCGAACTCATGTGTGATGCCACTGGTGTAGCTATTGGGGCAGTGCTTGGCCAACGTCATAACAAGGTTCTCCACCCGGCCTATTATGCAAGGAAGACACTCAATGGCGCGCAAATGAACTATACGGTGACTGAGCAAGAACTTCTTGCCATTGTCTATGCCTTTGAGAAATTTCGGGCTTATTTGTTGGGATCCAAAGTGATAATGTACGTAGACCATGCCGCTCTTCGCTATCTTATGGCAAAGAAGGATGCAAAGCCTAGGTTGATTCGGTGGGTCCTGTTGTTGCAAGAATTTGACTTTGAAGTGAAAGATCGAAAAGGGACGGAAAATCAAGTGGCGGATCATTTATCAAGGCTTGAAGAGGCAGGGAGACCAAAGGAAGATCTTGAAATCAACGATGCTTTCCCGGATGAACACATATTGGCGTCATCTAACACTTTTGCTCCTTGGTACGCCGATATTGCTAACTACTTGGTAGCGACCTTATTCCGGATGGATTGGAATATTATCAGAAGAAGAAGTTTTTGAGACATTGTCGGCAATACTATTGGGAAGAACCTTTCTTGTTCCGTGTTTGTACTGATAACATCATCAGAAGGTGAGTTCTAGAAGAGGAGATTATGCCAATTCTAAAGGCATGCCATGACTCACCGGTCGAAGGTCACCATGGGGGCAATAAAACGGCGGCAAAGGTGCTTGAATGTGGTTACTATTGGACGTCGATTTATCATGATGCTAATCAAATAGTCAAGGCTTGCGACCAATGTCAAAGGCAAGGATCAATCTCCAAGAGGCATAAAATGCCAATGCACTTTTTGATGGAGATCGAGATCTTTGATGTATGGGTAATTGATTATATGGGCCCCTTTGTAAGCTCATGTGGTATGAAATATATCTTGATGGCTGTGGACTATGTGTCCAAATGGGTTGAAGCAATTGCCTTACCAAACAATGAGGCAAGGAATGTGACCACATTCTTAAAGAAAAACATATTCACACGGTTTGGCACTCCTAGAGCCATTCTTAGTGATGGTGGGTCTCACTTCTGTAACAAGGCTTTCACGGGGCTACTAGAGAAATATGGCATCAAGCATAAGGTGGCCACACCTTATCATCCCCTATCAAGTGGCCAAGTTGAAGTTTCTCACCGGGAGATAAAGAATATTCTAGCAAAGACTGTTAATGCAAACAAGACCGACTGGTCAAGGAAGCTAGATGACGCGTTGTGGGCATACCGCACGGCGTACAAAGCCCCTATTGGCACTTCTCCTTATCGGTTAGTCTTCGGCAAGGCTTGTCATCTACCTGTAGAACTGGAGCACAAAGCCGTATGGGCTTTAAAAAGGTTGAACTTGGACTGGGCTGAAGCTGCAAATTTGAGGTTAACACAACTCAATAAAATGGAGGAATTCCATTTCCATGCATATCAAAGTGCACCTGTGTACAAAGAAAGGATGAAGTTCGTCCATGACAAAAAGATCTTGAAAAGGGAGTTCAAGTCGATTTACGGTCCGCATCGTTGCCGCATAAGAAACCCTAGGTGACTTCAGGAATATGACAAATTGTGGAGGCTTTGCGATCTCGTAAGTGATATGCGGACCGCAAAGCCACCACATACTTCAATAGTTTTAGGCTTTTTGTAACATGTTGTTTGCGGCTGATTTGCGATCGCAAATCCATCTTTCACTACAAGAAAAATGACCTTTAAGGAAGGGAAATATGGTCCCTAAAGATCCAAATCTGGTCCTAATAAACCTATTGCGACGGTAAAAAGCTGGTCGCCACTAGTCGCAATAGCTTCCGCCGCTAAAGGCCAATAACGACGGGTCCAAAACTCTGGTCGTTAACTGTTTTTTGCGACGGATGAAAAATCTGGTCCTTAAAAGCCTTTAGAGACTAAATATCTCGTCCTAGTAGACAATTAACATATTTTAAACATTATATATTTTTTCGTCGTAAAAGAGCTTTAGCGACCACCTTTCCCCTCCCCATTAGACGGCAAATATACTATGAAAAATATATATTTTTCGATCGTTAACCCATTTTAGCGACCAGTCTTTAACTGGTCGTAACTTATCTTTTAGAGACAAGCAGCACTGGTCCCTATTTAAAATAATTGTAGTAATTTTATCGACCATATTTATAATCTCGATCTTATTGACCACAAGTATTCCTAAAGCTCGATGTCACAAAAAAGTTATTTTTATCAATAAATATCAAATTGCTATTGAAAAATCTAGATATAAAAAGGTAATAAAGTTATTAATTGCAATGTTAACATCCCATGATGTTAGTTTTAGTATTTGCTCGATACCTTAACAAGAAAACTTAGCTAACATCCTGAGCTAGACTATGATATCAAGTTTTACATAACATTCTTAGCAAAATAATAATGAGCTTGTAGCTTCCAATCTTCCAAACTTGCATCTTGATTTGTAGCTTCAATCTTCAAAACCTGTAAGTACAAAATTTCAAAAAGATGATAAATAACTATTGGTAAAATAATATATGTTAATTTACAGTAGTAATGGTAAAACCCATTCAAAGACAATGAGCATCTTTGAACTTGCAAAATATTCAAAAATCCTAATTAAAAAAAGTAAACAACAAAACAGAAACTTCAAGATATCAAGTTTAAAAAAGCAAACAACAAAACAGAAACTTCAAGATATCAAGTTTAAAAAGAATTATCAAAATTCTGCGACCAATGTCCTATCTATGTGCCAAAATGCTCTTCATATAGATGTCAGATATGCTATACCAGAGCACTCGAAGCAAAAGGAGTCTAAAGCACAAAAGGAAAAAGAGGAAAATGAGTCACTTGATCCTTCAACAGAGACAGAGTCTGGACAAGCTAGAAGGTGATGCGAGGGATTATCTTAATGCAAAAAAGGCAGTACAAATAGTAGGGGAGACATCAAAGAATAATGTGGTTGAGTAGCAGGTTTGGCAATGGGAAGAAGGAAAACAAACAGGTAATTCGAACAGAGAAAATGTGAAACTAATTGGTGAATCAGGGAAAGAGCATGATATTGAGAAGCAGGGTGTGCAAACTAAAGGAGATAAACAAGTTACTACTGGGAACAATGCAAAAGGGATACAAATTAATGATCTACAAAACCAGGTTAATGGAAATAAAACATGCTTGGGTAATGCAGGTTGAAATGTATTCCCATGCTCTCCACGCGGGCTCCTGATTGCTGACTTGAAATGTATTCCATGCTCTCCAGGCGGGCTCCTGACTGCTGACTTGAAATGTATTCCCTGCTCTCCAGGCGGGCTCCTGACTGCTGACTTGAAATGTATTCCCNTTGGAAGGGCTTGGGTCATATACTTATGCTCCGAAAAAGCTCTCTCTTGACCAGGAGAATAGAGCTACTCCTCCCACAAAGCCTTCAATTATTGAGCCACCGCAACTAGAGCTCAAACCACTTCCACCACACTTGAGGTATAAATTTCTTGGCTCAAATGACTCTCTACCGGTAATTGTTTCTTCTTTGTTGAATGATATGCACGTAGAGAAACCGTTGAATTTCTTGAAGGAGCATAGGGAAGCTATTGGATGGACAATTGCGGACATCCGGGGGATTCCCGCCAAAATTTGCGAACACAAGATCCAATTGGAGAACGAGAGTAAACTAAGTGTGGAGCATCAACGAAGGTTAAACCCTTCCATGCAAGAAGTGGTAAAGAAAGAAATCATTAAGTGGTTGGATGCCGGGGTAGTCTACCCTATTGCCGACAGTTCTTGGGTGAGCCCGGTGCAATGTGTGCCGAAAAAGGGAGGCATGACAATGATTGAAAATGATAAAAATTGCTTCTTGGATGGATACTCCGGCTACAATCAAATCAACATTGCATTAGAAGATCAGGAAAAGACAACATTCACTTGTCCATATGGGATGTTTGCATTTAGCCGGATGCCATTTGGGCTATGCAACGCTCTGGCCACTTTCCAAAGGTGTATGATGTCAATATTCTCCGATATGGTGGAGGATTTCTTAGAGGTATTCATGGACGATTTCTCGGTCGTGGGTGATTCTTTTGAGCATTGTCTAGACAACCTTAACAAGTGCTTAAGAGATGTGAAGAAATGAACCTTGTGCTAAACTCGGAAAAATGCCACTTCATGGTGGACGAGGGCATTGTTTAGGGCCACAAAATTTCCAAACATGGCATAGAAGTTGACCGGGTAAAGATCGAGATCGATTTCCAAAGCTTCTCCACTACTCAGTTAAAAGTGTCCGAAGTTTCATGAGCGATGCCGGATTCG